GACGTGTCAGACCAGCTGGCCCAGGGGGGCCTGGTGCAGTACTCGAGCTCCGTGCGCCAGGAGTTCCCACTGGGCCGCTTCCACACCAAGAAGGATATCAAGGCGGCCGTGCGGAACATGTCCTACATGGAGAAGGGCACCATGACTGGGGCCGCCCTTGAGTATATGGTCGACAACTCCTTCTCCGCGTCCAGTGGGGCAAGGCCCGGTGCCCAGAAGGTGGGCATTGTCTTCACCGATGGCCGGAGCCAGGACTATATCAACGATGCCGCCAAGAAAGCCAAGGACCTCGGTAGGTTCTGCCTGGGGACCTGGGGCCCCTGGTGGCAGGGACACACAGTCACAGCCAGGCTGTTCACCTTGGTGTCTTCTGATTAGCGTCCTCACCTGGGTGAGTTTGAATGAGGAGGACTGGTTAGTCCAACTCTCATACTGATGACAGAACTGAGGCCCCAGAAGGTGGCTTGTTTTGATAGTTGAGGCTGGCAACATTCCAGCTCAGCTGAATGTCAGTTCCCAAGAGAGAACCCCAGCCTCAGTTTTATCACCTGCCAGTGAAGAAAATCATCACCCCAAGACCGGTGGTTATGGAACAAATCCAGCTCCCAGTGAAAGCTCCCACAGGGAGTCAGTACAGGGTCTGGCATAGCAGAACCTCAATAAAGGCTGATTTCCCGACTGTGCCTGACCCAGGCACTGTGCCTGCAATTCCAGCAGCTGCCACCAGGAGATGCTGGCATCAGCTGCCCAGACACTCCCAGGAGCACAGCCTCAGGGCTGCCTGTCTCCATGGCCAGCCTTACAGCCTGTCTCCATGGCCTTGTTGCTCCTGGCAGGCTTCAAGATGTTTGCAGTGGGCGTGGGCAACGCTGTGGAGGACGAGCTCAGAGAGATCGCCTCGGAGCCCGTGGCCGAGCACTACTTCTACACGGCCGACTTCAAGACTATCAGCCAGATCGGCAAGAAGTTGCAGGAGAAGATCTGTGTGGGTGAGTGGACCAGGACTGGCATTGGTTAGGGGGCTCTCTGGGGTGAGGAGCCATGCAGAGAAGGGCCGGGGGCACCGAGGGTGGGCAGGACCAGGAGGTGGACTGGCCGGAACAGCTCTGACAACCAGCAAGCATGCTGCAGGCTCAGTATGAGAAGGGCCCTGGCCTGGGCCAGCAGGTGTGTGGAGAGTGCTGGATCCCACATGCTGCAGTTTGAGTCCCTGACCCAGCACCTTGAAGAATGATGCCGGGCACGTGTGTGGGCATGCCCAAGATTCTGAGAGGAGACTGGAGGAGAAGGGACTGTGGGTGGCCATCTCCTGGGGGCGATTCCTTAGCTCCTCCCCATCGCTCTCTGGCAAGCACACATGTCCTGTAGCAAAAGCAAAGGCAGAAGAAGCAGGGGAGAGGCGGCACTGGCCTGGCGCTCTCAGACCTGAGCGCTGCCCATCCTGTTGGCTGAGGGCTCCTCTACCCCCGTTTTACAGGTGGGAAAACGAGAGGGCTGGAACAGTTACCAATATCCAGGGGAGCGGGATTTGAACCTGCTTCCTCCTGGCCACCTGGCCAGCTGGCTCCTCGTGGAAAGGAGTAAGGCCCCAGAGCCGGACGTGCTGAGGGCTACGTCTTGGCCCTGACATCACTGGCCACGGGCAAAGTGTTCCCCTTCTGGGTTCTTCACCTGTAGGAAGTGACTGGGGACTTCAGACCCAAGGGTCAGGCGGGGGAGTGGCCGCGATGACACAGAGGTCCGGCAGCGCCTCTCTCTACCCGCCGGGCAGCTGCGTTCTCAGTGCTCTGGGCTGGACGGCGTTCAGGGCCTCCCAGGTCCTGTCTCGAGGACTCTGCCGCTCTGCCCCTCAGATCTCCCAGCCCTCACTCCCCCAGGACTCCCCAGCCCTGGTCCTGGGAGGTGACCGTCCACACCCCGCCCCGGGCACCCTCAGCAGCTCCCTTCCCTTTCCCTGCTTCTCATCCTAGAGGAAGACCCATGTGCCTGTGAGTCCCTTGTGAAGTTCCAGGCCACAGTGGAGGGGCTGCTGCAGGCTCTGACCCGGAAGCATATCCTTTCCTAGTGGCTGCTGGTGGGTGGGAGGACAGGGCCTGCAGGGAGAGGGTGGCCTCTAGGGCTGGGCTCTGGTGCATACCCTCTGGGAAGCAGGGCCTCCCGTGGGGCAGAGACGCTGAGGCACAGGCCCAGCTCTGGGGACTGACTTCCACGCAGAGCCGGGGCATGTTCAGGGCAGCAGGGAGGCCTCCGCACCTCCCACGCTCACGGAGACCTGGCTGCCCTGGCCCCTCGGAGGGCGTGGGCCCCGACAGCCGCCCGGCTCGGCCATGACCGGGAGCAGGGCTGGGCACCCGGACTCCCTGGCAGCCGAGGAGTCTTGCCCTGACGCCGTCCCGCTTCCCGTTGTCCTCCCCTGTGACATGCCATCGGGCTCTCGCACCAAGGGCTGGGCGGCCCAGTCACCGGGGCAGGAGGCCCGGCAGGACAGCGGGCGGCAAGTTCTGGCCCAGGGCACTGCTGGGGTGAGGGAGAGCCCCGGGAGGGGCACACTGGAGCCCAGGGGGTGGGGCTCCGGCCGCAGGCCTGCTCGGGCCACCGCCTCTCTCCTTAACTCGGAGCCCACTGGAAGCCGTGAGCAAGCGGCTGGCTGTCCTGGAGAACAGGGTCGTCTGAGCCGCCCCGCATGGCCCCGCCACCTCCCCACCCGAGTGTGGCTGTGTGTGTCACCATTGTTAAGTCCAGCTCTGCCCTCGTGGGGAGAGG